GGAAATTAAGTGTATTGCAAAGTTGAGTTCAGAAAGAATAAACTAGTTTTATTTAAGAAAGGACTTGTATCACTGAAGTTTATTGGAAAGAATTTCTACAGAAAATTAACAAACGAACACAGAGACGTAACAATATCTATAGAAAACCCTTATTTTCAAATTTCCTACTGTATGTTTCCATTACAACGTTTTGACAAACAGTATATATATAACACAAGTTTACCTTTCCACTGCTCTACTGTATGTTCTCTTTCATCAACTGAGTGGTCATAAGGTGCAGGGGCAGGCTATTAAAAAAAACTACTTTCACTTCTGAAACTGTTCTAGTAAAGAATCCAATACTAAAAACTTGTCAAAATGTATCTGAAATTCTAATACAAAGGTTGAGTACATTATATTGAAACAATTTTGTTCTTACAATACATGTTGCCAACTTCACAATAATTCTGCAACATAATTTCCATTGCAAAAAGCTCTGTCATAAGGCTGTCATGATCATAAAACACCGATCCTCCCAAAAGGCTTTCCATAATCTATGTAGAGCACAAGGACAATTTCCCAGCACCTACTTCAGCAGTCCAATCCCACAAAAATCCATAGGAACTGTGTCCAGCAACTTGACTGAAATGTGTTCATATGAAATAGTCATGAATAACCATTTCATCTTCCAACTGCTTGAAGTGTACTAGTTGTACTGTAGGTATGAGTGGAAGCTTATCCAGGTGAACCTGTTTTCTTTGTTTTCAAATGGATAGATGTTGCGTACTGTTCCTAGGGCATGTGGGTGGGTTTTGCTACATATCTTTGTGTTTGTAAATCCCCTATCTTTTATAAGAAACTGAACTCAAACTTGTTGCAAGTCTCTTTCTGGATGCTGCTAATTCCCCAAGTTGATCCATATTCTTTTGTGTTTCAATGCCATTAAGTACAGGGGATATCCCTTTCTTGGAAATTCTAAATTCCCAATCTGTACATATCTTTATGATCTCAGTGTATGAATACATTGCATCAGAAAGGGCTCCTTTATTACCTTCCCAAAAGTGATAATTTTTTGGTGGTATCACATTACCTACGAAATGCCAAACAGTGTTCAAATACTGTTCTGATACATGCAATTGTCATGGCCTGCTGACTTCCAATATCTAAATTATTTTAATATAATATACTCAACTCTCTCTAACAGGCTGTTCTACAATTAAAATAACCAACTGACAATACCACAGTTTCTAAAAGTTCACAACATTTTCTATTTGTACACAGTAACAGTACAAAATAAAACATAATTTTACTTATCAAGAAACAAAGTCAAAATAACTTACTTTGAACAGTATGAATAACAGAGCAATCTAGTATAAAACAAAAAGCTTACACAAAACTGTCTAACAATGTGTGTACAAAACCTGATGTTGGATTTTATTTTTTATAATATTCTGTGGAACAATTAGGAATACAATATTATATCTTATACCACACTTTCATAAACAAGTCCCACAATGACTATAGATTAGGTTCAAAACTCAGTAATGTTGTGCTCTATTATAAACACTGGGAAAGACACTTAGTAAATTCAGCTTTTCTGTACAATCTTACCCACTTCAGTAAAACTTCCTAATCCTGATTCATATACTAGTTTGTTGAAGTAAAAGCTGTATTTCTCATAACATAAGTAAAAAACTAAAAAACTTAATTAAAAAATTTAATTAAATAATTGAAAGCGCAGCTAAATATTTCATAGCATTTGCTAAACTGTAACTAAAATATCTGTTAAAACTATGAATTTTATCATCCATGTTTAATAACTAAATTAGTAAAAGAAATAAATTTTATCAAGTAATAACTAACTCAACTAGAGAAACAAGTTTTATTAAATAAATAACTAATTCAGCTGGAGAAATAAATATAATAGTAAATGACTAGGAAGCAAGAATTAAAAAGGTATACTTACAGCATGGACTTCACTCTCCTCATACCACACATTAATGTAGGGATGCATGAGAGCCTGGTCAACTGATATCCTTTTTTCAGGATCTATTACTAACATGTTAGATAGTAGATCTCGAGCTTGGCTAGCTGTGAACACAACAGAATTAAAGTATTAAAAGCACTAATCATAAAAAAGCTTAAAAGAGCTTTACAGTTTGAACTACCTCATTATGAACCAACTTGTTCAATAAAAGGAATACATTTTTAAATAGCAAAGTCACTAAAAACGTATGCTTTTCATTTCCCAAGAGAAGTGAAGAAATATCACAGGTAGATTGTTCAAAATTACTTTTTATATATGTAAAGCTACTTTTACAATGAAAGTTATAAATTCTAACAAGACATATCAATAAAAGTGTAGGAAGTTTCCTTCATTTATAAGAACAAATATTATGGATATACTGTTGCATGTGACATATTTTAATTGTAAAGCTACTTTTACAATAAAACTAGTAAATTTTATCTAACCAAAGCAATAACAAATTTTAGTTTTTCTTTGCTTACAAATAATGAAGAAATTCTACAAATGTATATTTGCAGATGTTATTTTTAAGTATAAAATGTGTTACAACATGAATTTCTACAAAACCTAAGAACAATGTAATGTGTCACATGACCCAGACAAATTTCATGCTTGGTCTGTTAACACTATCAAAATTTAAAATTTTTAGAGTCTCTAAGATTAAAATTCTATCTTATATCAAAGATAAGCATGCATATAAAAAATGTTTAAATCAACAATAAATTGAACATTTTATTGGTAATTACATACCTTTCAACCTACTATGTTCTGAGCTGTCGGCAGGAAAGAGAACATCTGGGAACATCCTCTCAAATGAATAGCCTGCATATCTTGGCCTATTTTCCACGTAGTTTCGAACGGTGGGTTGAAGTCGTCTCATGAAGTCAGGGGAGGGAGTTCCTAACTGCTCGATGATTTTATTCCATTGATCAATGTCTACACACAAACTAAGGTATAAAAACGAATTGTTCTAGAAAGTATTAAAACTTGCAAGTTCCTTCTTCTTTTTCCACAAAGTTACTAACAGTGCTTAAAAAGAACTAACATGTATCCTCACTTGTCCAAGTAACTCTGTAAAATGTGATAAGGCAGTTAACCATGATACTTAAATTGCATATAATAAGTTGGTTTAGTTTTTAGACCATTATTTATTGTGTACACATAGAACACTTCAAACCCAAAACATATATAAATTCAGTTGTTTAAAAAATTAACTGTGTATTATACTTAAAATACCAAACACTGAATAAATTCAGTATGCTTTCAGATAGAAAAATTGTTAAAATTAGTTTTTAAATAATGTAAAACTTAAGCAAAACTGGTATGATGATATGTGGGAAAACCAATATTACTTTGGTTGGATTTGTTTTGTTCTGAATTTTGTGCAAAGCTACACGAGGGCTATTTGCACTAGCCTTCCCTAATTTAGCAGTGATAAACTAGAGGGTAAGTAGTTAGTCAACACCACCCTCTGCCAACTCTTGGGTTACTCTTTTACCATCAAATAGTGAGATTGACCATCACATTATAATGCCCCCACAGTTAAAAAGGCAAGCATGTTTGGTGAAGAGGATTCAAACCCACAACCCTAAGATTGTGAGTTGAGCTCCCTAAACACCAGGCCATTTTGTTGGAATATGCGTACAAATGATATATGGGAAAACCCATATTACTTTGGTTAGAATATGTGTACAGATGATATATTTGAAAACCAATATGGGTACAAAGGCTTCATGTGTGTTCAACCTCTTCACCAAATTAACTTGGACTCATATTTCTAAGTTTCTTGAATGACACTTGCTAGTGCATAATACTTCAAAAGATACGATCAGTTCCTGGAAACAGTACATTTCCACGGATCATTTCTCCCATGATACAGCCAACTGACCAGATGTCAACTAGAACAAGAGAAAAAAATTTACTCTATTAGAAATATAATCCTATATTCTCATTTCTGTTTGAAAGTAATAACAGCTTGAAAGTGTTTCTAAAAATTAGCAATGATTGCAATTAGAAAATCTGTAGAAAATTTTAAAGTCAATTTCCCGAAATACTATTGAAAGGCCATTAAATATTACAATTTACTTTTTCCAAGTCTATAAAAAAAATCATTGAATATATTCAAATAAACCTACTCTAACAAACTTCTATTTACAATAGACAGTTTTATTTGAATATAATAACAGTCCTAGAAAATGCATAGAAGAGATCTCACAACAGAAACTTAGTCAAGTAAACTTATCATTGATAATAAAATATACATGACTGTATCTTACATCACATTAAATATACACTACTTTAACCAAACTATAGTATATTGTCAAATGAAATTCATGCTGAAATGCTTAGCACACAGTGCTGTAATATGTCAGTTTTATACAAACACTGATTCATTTGCTTCTTGTGCTACTTACTTTATATTGATATAAAGTAGCTTAAATAATACTCTTGCTAACATGTAGCTTAAATACCTAGTTTGCCCCTAAAGAAGGAAGGTCCACCTTTTGAAAGCACTTGGGTTATAGGGTTTTTATTCATTTTTATCAAGACTTCTTGAACCTACATGTTTTTCTAACATCATGAATGTAGCTTAAATAATACTTTTGCTGGTCTGGCTAGAACGTGTTGTATCAAGAAAGTAGCTTAAATAATACTTTTGCTAGTCTGGCCAGAACATGTTGTATCAAACAGACTTAAGCTCATCCCTTGAATACAAGTTTGATAAAACCATATCACTATAACAACATAAATCTATTTAAGTTAAATATCTGGGCAATACTATGAAAATTGTTCATACTTTAAACTGTGGGTGTGTTATAACAGTGAAAGTCAATCCTTTAATGTGTATATTGGGTGGTAGGGTGCTTTCTGACTGGCTACCTTCTCTTTGGGCAGTAGTTTAAAACTAGAGATGGTGGCAAATAGTCTTTGTAGCTTTACCACAAACACAAAATACAACTACAAATACTTAAGACTCTGGCACATCAAATTCTAAATGTATTACCATATACAGAGGCTTGTATTAATCACTTGCTTATCTGCTTGGTATATTACAACATACCTTGTAGGCTAGAGTCAAAACCAAGTTTATTCATTTGGCAATCTATGTTTTACTAATTATTGTTTATGACCATACAGAGGCTTAAGTCAAAATCCTGTACATCTGCTTAAGTCAAAATCCTGTACATCTGCTTAAGTTAAAATCCTGTACATCTGCTTAAGTTAAAATCTTGTACATCTGCTTAGTATAACATGTTGTAACAAGTAGGCTTAAGTTAAAATCTTGTACATCTGCTTAGTACACCATGTTGTAACAAGTATGTTTAAGTACACCATTGTTTATTTGCTTGACAAACTATGGTGTAATTGTTAGATTTAAGTAAAACCAAGTTTATCTAATTGGCACATTAGGTTGTTTCAAACACATTGTGCATTCTTGTATTAGGACAATGGATAGTCACCTGCTACTGGACTTGTGAATTGATCATTATCCATCATTCAACTCATTTGAGATCTGGTTTAGCATTTTAAATCTAACACTTCTTACTTAACAGAAAACACTGTATTTACCCACAGTGACTAGCACTACCCATGTAGCTAGTCAGTGTTATTCAACATAAGGCCATAGCCTCTAGATATCATCTGCTCTACCACTGAAGGACACTACTGTCACAATATGCAGCAATATCCCCCTCAGATGGAGAAGGTATCTTTGGAGAACAACAAAGAAATATAGGTAGCTAGAATGACATCAACTTAACCCTTTGAAGACGGGTCACAGATGCAAGGCCATGTCATTTTGTTTGTTGACTCGTATTAAAAATTTTTTGAACTACTACTTTATGAATTTATGTCAATAACTTTGTATCAAACTGTATAATTCAAATTTTAGTACTATATATTACTCAATTTCTTAATTTAAATGCTAATATTAAAAAATACAGATAAACATCGATTTTTGTGTCATGTGGTATGTTGAATGCAGCACTGGTTCAAATTAGATGTTTCTGATGTCAAGTTACTAAGTCTATAGTTTCATACGAACTAGAAACTCAAATTACCGATATTGACAAACTAGAATATAAAATAAGAGCCTCTTATCTTTTCAATTTAAGATATTGCTCGTGTAATAATTCAAACACAATGGCACCCCACCTACCTCTTTCCATTTTTGGTGTAATGAATTTGTTGTCATGTATTTATTTTTAATATGAAAGTTATTTAGATTAAGTTTGTAATTAAAAATATACACAACTTATAGTGTTGGATATGTGTTGTATGTAACAAATTTGGTATATATTTATTTTAATGACAATGTTTGTTTGGATTGAGTTTATATTTAAAAACGTACCTTGCTTACAGTATTAGTTACGTACTGTGAAACTCCCGCCAATTCTCCAAGGTTGTAGAATATTCGTGAATGTAAAAATCGACAATATATCCACTTCCATAACCAGTTAAATATAGCTCAGTATTGTCGAAATTTTCAAGAAAATCTTTCCCGTGCCTATAAAAACAGACAAGGCAACGTGCCAAAAAAAAAAAAGAAGAGAGAGCTTAAAAAGTTGGCTAGGAGCCTGCTATAACCGTGTGCTATTAGTGATTTTGCTAACCCTTATCAACCGGAAAATTTAAGACATTTGACCAGGAACAGTTATAAATTACATCACTGGATTCTCATCGAACTTTAGTATCTTTCCGAAAATATTACTGGATTCTCATCGA